CTAATGTCAACTGCTGTATTGTTATTAGTTACAGTGTGATTCTTTAGCCAGCATCTTAAAGTGACATATAGGAACCAGTTATTCAGAGGTAAATCTACTTTTACAACACACTTTTTTCTTGAGTATTATATTGGTCATTCACAGATTTTGCAAAGGGGGGAAAAAATGCTAGTTGCCAGATAATTACATGCCTGGATTTTGGACTTAGTAGTGTACACTTACAATTTTGTGTTTTCCATTTCTTCATGGCTGTGTGCAACATGAATATTTATTTCTATTAAAAAGTACTGAAAGAGAGCATCCCTCCCTCCCCTTAGGGAGATAGCCCTTGTGTGCTTTGCCACATTCCAGTAACTAACAAACCACATTTTTATGTATACCATAGAACAAGCTGTCCTTTATGTCAAGTATTTTTTAATCTCAAGAACAATGGGAGTTTATTACAGAATTAGATACCAGGAAACAGGCTTCTCAGTTCGTGTTTTTACATTTTTTTTTTCATATGCAAGTTAAATAAAATCCAAAACTGTCCCTTCACTGAGATAGCCTTTCTTAGCACATTTTGCAATATCTAAATAAATTCTTCTAGATGGATTCTTGCATTTGAAAGCTCTGTTTAGGAACTACATAGTAAGTTCTACTTTCTGGTCTTCCCTGTTAACATATGACATTTTTGTGGTCAGGTGAGTAAGACTACTGAGCATTTGTAGCTTATCCCACATTCATTTTGCTGCATACAAGCTGGCTGAATTTTCCTCATGTGAAATATGAACATGACCTAGTTCCTTTTAAAAAGTATTACATGATGCATTCATCATTAAGCAGATAATTCTTACAAGCTTTTGCTTTGGAAATTAATGTGTTAACTAACCACTGATGTTTGCAAGTCATTTATTATTTAAAATTGTTCACTCTTGATTCTTGATGAATCCAGAGTGACAGTTCACTCAGCATAAAGGAATGCTATGAATCGAGAGTCGTTGTTCACTCTCGATTCCTGATAAAGAATTCCTAATTTCTATATGAAAAAAGGTTTATTTGAGTTTACACAGAACTCTGCATGCAAGCTAAGACTAGTTTACACATAGCAATGCTAATCAATGTGCAAGTGACCCTGGAAACCTTTTGGTTGGTACTGCAAGATAAATATTTTAAAATTACATTTTCATATAATATGATTTAATGATATTTCATGCTTTACATCATGATTAGAACTATAGTAAAGATCTGTCTTACAAAACAGATTTAAATCACCGAGTACTGATTAGGGTGCTTAACCCTCTAAGGATTATGGAAGGTAAAATTCTACATAAAAGGATAGCTTTTGAATTCATTATACACAAAAATTTCTGCCAGCTTCTAACATATTTGATTTCAAGTCGGGTGTTTACTGGGTTGAAGTATGAAGTGAGAGGATATTTTTGGAATTATAATCCAAGAAATTTATTCATGACATTTTAGAAAAACTGAAATTTCAAAGCCAAACCTATAATGCTTGGACGGTTAAAATATCTCAAATTTTGCATTTAATTTTGGAGTAATTATTTTTATTAAAATATAGATAACAACAAAAGGTATTACATTCTTCTATTTCTCTACCTTGTCTCTCTTAATTTGAGTCTTAACAAAAAATGAAATTAGTGTGCTGATTAACTAAACCTTCCACAATAATTTTCCCAGTAGTAATTGCAAATGCAACCAACTGTATACTTTAAAAGCAAATTATATATGCAAATGTAAACCTAATACACTCTAATTATATATGGAATGAGAATCATACCTTGTTTAATGGGGAACTTTATTAGAAAAATAGAATGTGAAAGTGATGTACGTTACACCCTGCTTTTAGATGCTTTTGTTTTCAGCTACATAAGATGCTTGTAATGAAAAGAAATAACATAAATCAGTTGGTATTTTACTTCCATTATGCAAGATTTCATAATTAAAAGAAAACACTGCCAAATGTATGTTATAATATAAATTAATTTATTGTTCCAAATGCAAACAGTTTCTTCCATTAAGACACCTTTTACTAATGGCTACGAAGATTGAAAAAATTAAAATAAGAGCTAAACAACAGGAATCTTCAATGGAACACAAGAACTTCATAACAAAATTCATAGCAAGAATCTCAATACAAGGTTGTACTGATACAAATATTGCAACCCTTTACTTGGAGGACAAATATATTGAAGAAAGATGCTTCAGAGAGTACACACAATTACAAAATTTTCAAAGAAACATTACTTTCATTTTATGGCTATAATGAACATTTTGAATTATGAACAGGATCTAGTGGAAACTACATTAGATTATGGCAGTTTCTAGCTGAATATAATGAATTTTTTAATAATCTCATATACAAAAATACAGCTCAAGAGGAAAAGGAAACTTAAATTATTTATCATCGATGTATGTGGTCAACTAATAGAAATTATTAGCAGAAAAAATTATGAATATTTTTAAAAGCGAAGTTAAGAAATCAAAGTACCATACTGCAGTTACTTATTTCACACTTGATATAATGCAAATTTATACAAGGTCCTAGTAATAATTTTGCAACTTGTATAAGTCATCTAGAAAGTTTATCACAATTCATATATGATATATGGAGTAAATATAATGAAATAAAAAATGAGGCAGTAGCAATGGAAGGTATCTATTTAACTGGTCAAGCAAAATGTAAATAAATTTATTTTATACTATTGTGAGAAAATGTGTGGCAAACTGACACCAAATACACAAAGTATAAAGAAATTAACAAAATATTTTAAATCTGTTTAACACAATTTGAAGATTAAAAGATTGTATCAGATAAAAAAAAGTGAAAAAATAGCCATTAGTAAAAGGTGTCTTAATGGAAGAAAATGTTTGCATTTATAACAATAAATTAATTTAACCACTTGCCTGATTATCCCGAGTTATCTCAGGTTAGTATACATTGCAGTTAATTATTATCTCATGAAAACTCAGGCGAAGCAGAATTTGTTAATACGATTTGTTTTATCATGGTTTTACTCGCCCTGGAGGAAATGAAAAGAAATATTCAGCTTTGATTGACAGTTTGCCAAATTTTGCTGGTTGCGCAGTTCTTTTGGAGGGACTGGTCACGTGTTTCCCTATCGTATAGTATATTGCGGCTTGTGGATTACTAATGTATAAAGAAGGATACATGCGTTGAAAAAAAAAAAATAATGGTGATGATGCAAGATAGCAAAAGTGATGATTTTTCAGATAGTGATTATGAAGAGGTGGGTAAAAAATTTAAAAAGAAAAAAATCAAATCCAATGAGACAGTGTACTCTGTGCTCCCATAAAAGAGATTCCAGGAGTAAGCCAGTAAGAAAAGAGACCTGATACAAGTATAGAATGTCGGGTATCACTTTGTGTTGTCCCTTGTTTAAAAAACTATCATACAAAGACTAATATTTAAATTTTTTTGAATTGCCCGAGATATCTCGGGATAGTAAACTAACATTAAAACTAAATGCTTTTACACCTTCAAAAAATTGAAAATTTAACTTAAAACCTACATATTTTGATTTGTTTCGTTGTATTTAATAAGAAAAAAAAAAAAAAAAAAAAGTGATGATTTTTTTCAAAAAAAATTGTATCAGATCAAAAAAGTGAAATAATAAATATTTATCTCAGTGACATCGAAGAACTAAACAAACTGGCAATTTATTGTAATGGGGGTAGTAAAATTTGCAAAGCCCGACCTATATATAACAGTTCATAAAAAATTACAACATTACGTCTTTTTCTGATGCTGAAATATTTAAAAAATATATTTAACTATGAACGTGAGTAATGCATGAAGAGTAACATGAGTAATGAAAGAGAACATTCTCTGCTTTAAAAGATATATTAATTAAAAAATTCCACAGGACGGGACAGGCTGAGGTCTTCAGGAATGTTTGCTATAGAGAAAGATACTTTTAGATGACTAGACTGCCAAGATATTATTGATTACATTCTGATTATATTTTTCATTATTTAATTATTATAGTATTATTGTTTGTATTTGCTGTTATTAATAATAATTTTAATTGACATTATTGAAGTTTTCGATGGAAGCAATTTAAATAAATAGGTTTCCAATTTAAATTTTGCTTACTGTTCACTAGAAGCTTAATTTGGCATTGACAGGAAATAAATTAATGAGAATTACAATTTTTTCATCCCTTTTTCTTAACCACGATAGGATGAATGAGAAGAGGTCATAACAATTAGAATTGAAATTTTTTTCATTTCTTTATAGCAATGAAGGGATAATCAAAAGTTCCGTGTATGCACAGATTAAATCTAAATGTAAGAATTTAATAGGAACATATGGTCTTGAAAATAATCCAGAGTTAATAGAGTCTTTAGAATATAACGTTTTACAAATTAGTGTAATTATATAAACAAAAGCTTAAGGATATTTTTGCAATGGAAATAAAGTTCATTCATTAATGTCAATCAGCAGAACCCTCTGAACAAAATATTTGCAGGGCAATGTAGTTATATAAAGCAATTACAATATGGAAGAAACAGCAGTGCATGGTGAGGCAACTTTCAATTGATTTGGTACCTCCTGTGTTCATAAGCCACAAGCATACATAAAATTATGTGAAAGTTATATGAGAACCAATCGAAAATTCCAGTTAACTTGTAATATAATCAGTTTAAAGTCTCTTTGTGGAAAGAAACTTCTTCCACATCCTTACTTTTTTATATAATTACACTAATGTGAAAAAGGTTATATTCTAAAGATAATTATTAACTCTGAATTATTTTCAAGACCATACATTCCTATTATAAAGTTACCATACTACAGCCCCTCATACAATCCCTAAATTTTCAAAGTCTAGATGCTCTTTAACCCCCCCCACAAAAAAAAAAAAAAAAAAAAAAAACTTTTGATAATAATTTACATTTATTTATACTTGTTGCGATTATTCAATAATATCATCTCTTATTGCAGAAAAATATGTATTCCAAAAAGAAAGTGAACTTACAAATTTAGGCAATTTACTTTTCTGCACAGCTTTCCTAGCTTTAGCAGCAGCAGCCTGAGCTTGATGAATTCGTTCTGCAATTATATAAATACGCTTAAAAAACTTATCTATGGAATTTAAATTAAATGAAAAAAAGAATAGAAAAGAAAGCACATTAACAGGAAGTTTCATTGATGCTTGACTCTCATAAGAAAAAAATACAACTTATATCCAAATACTCATTACCTATTAAGCTATCACTAAATCACTTAAAAATACAAACAGTTTGGTGTACTTAATATTAAATGGATAACATTTACCAAATTCTTCTTCTGTACGATGACGATGCAAATAAATCCACAATTTTCTATTTACATCATATTTGACACAAGGGTCCTTTTCATAGTGCAATCGATCAAGAGCACCACTTACTACAGTATGAATCTGATAGAAAACAAAAACAAATATGCATTTTATTGATTAAGATAAGCTACACTTTTAAATCAGAGCAAATACAATGAAATATATGGCATGAACTCCAAGAACTGCATTTTTATTTCACAAAGCTTAAAGTAGAAAAATTTAAAGCTAATAATCACATAATTTGAAAAATACCTGCTGATCGCTAGCTGGCGCAAGATACTGAGAATCTTTCAATAATTCACATATATCTGCCCGAGTACCTTCTCCATTAGGCAGTCTTGCAGCAGAGTCACGTACTGAAGAAATATATAAAAATAAATCTTTTTTTGGGCCAATGAGCACTGCAGAGAAAATTACTGCAGAAAATATCATCTACAGCCAAAACATGACAAAATTTAAAAATACAAGTTACTGGAATAAAAATAAATTCAAAAATTATATTTAACAATTAAATATAGATATTTTTCATTCCAGACACATATATAATAAATGCAAAATCACATCAGTTTTGTTCCACTAATTTTTATCACATCAGTTTTGTACTACTGATTTATTGAAAAACTGCATCTTTAATACCTCAAACCTAGAACATCTACTAAAAGAATCTTGTTCTTAGTGCTTTCAAATTTAATTATTTCCTGATAATCATAGTTACAATTAAAGAAGAAAGCAAGAAACATATTTTATTGCAAAATGACTGCGGAATCTTTTAAAACTCTTCAAGAGTTCTTTGAAAAACAAAGAAAACTAAAGCTTAAAATGAAGAAACATTTTTGTAAACAAATATTTAATCCTCACTGTGGCTATAGAAAGTTTAGGCATCCCTGACGTTACTTGAATGTTTCAAGGGGTAAATAACAGTTAGACCAATGATTTCCAGTATGAGTGCTCAGCAGTTCTAGTACTGAGGAGAAATGTGCAATAATAAGAATGTACTTGAAACAGTTCATCCCATACACATTTTTAAACAAACATTTAAACACAACTTTATTACATATATTTCTATTAATAGTTTTTTCAAGAATCATAGCAAAATTCATTAAACTTTTATATATATTACTGCATTCTCTCTGGTGTCTAATGGCAGCAATTAGTCACATTTCAATTACACACACACTTACAAATGCTGCAATGCAAAACCTACAATCCCTAGATCGAGGAGAAAATGATCATGCATTGCATTAAAATGATTTCTCATAGAGAAACCAATTACTTTTTATCAGTTTTGATATGAAAAAAACATGCAAGACATGGGGACAGAAATTAAGATTATCTGTGCAATGAGCAATCATCTTTCCCACAGAAGTTTAGGAGACCAAACTATTTCAAGCAAAGGCAGGATATCTATTATTTGATATATTCATGAAAGAAGAGTAACATACGTTGAATATTACACATTTTTGCTTCCAAATAAATTCCAGGTTAGAAGGCCCTTGCATGTCGATGGTCTTCAGATAAGCTAGCAGGCTACTTTGATGTGATATTTAGAAAGATAATTAAAAATGATATTATTTTTATTTGCATATTTAACAGTCCTAATACCATTTGTTAAAGATTCAAATTCTCAAACTGCTATACCATTTATGTATATTTCTGCTGAAAGAGAAACATTCACCTTGATTAATAGGTTCGCCTTGAAAGCTATGAAGCTATTTGACCTTGAAAGCTATTTGACCAGAAGTCTTACTACAGGCAAGATTTCCTGATGTGATATTTGATAGAATCCTATGTGTATTAAGTTGCTGAAAATCAGTAAAACATATTTTCACAACATTACCAAAATTTCTGTGGTATGAGTATGTAAAGCAAGGGTATAAGGCAATATATAAATGCATTATGACTAAATTAATTGTTTAAACATGACTTCTGATGTGTATTTAAATAAGTTATTCATCTACTTGTAGCTTCAACTTCTCCAGTGCTTCACATTCGAGATAACACCACATATTAGTGAGCAAAATTTAAAAGAATACAATGTAAGATATAGATGATATCTGACTTCATTCCATCCTAAAAATTGATAAAGAATGATACCTCTGCAGTAAATGAAGAATGGGAGCTAGGCTTGTTCTACACACAAGTGCCCATGAAATCACTTAGGTCTTAGTGAAACAATAATTTCTTTACACAAGGTAATATATATTTGGTATGATTTACAATGTATTCTGTTTTTAAAAGCATGTCTTTCCAGGTGCCAGCTATAGTCTCAAACAAAAAAACTTAAAACATAATTTCCTTAAAGGCTGAGGGTAAAGATGGACTGGACCTAGATTTTCTAGAGAGGTATTTCACATTCAAAAAAACTTTCTGTTCTAGTTAATGGCCCAATTCCAATATAAGTATGTACGCAATATTTTTTTAATGGCCGGGCATTTTATTTAATAACAATTACCCTAGATTTCCTAGAGGTGTTTCACATTAAAAAAACTTTGTGTTCTAGTTAATGACCCAATTCCAATATATTATGTGTGCAATATTTTTTTAATAGCTGGACGTTTTATTTAATAATAATTACCCTTGCACCACTGCATGCAAGGGTCGGAATTGGTGGCCATTTCATCATGGAAGCACTTAATGGGTGGATATCATTGCCTCTATGAAGGGATGAACAGTTACAGATAATAGATAATTTTAGCCTAGCTTATATTGTCTGTTATACATTAAACGCACATGCATAAAGCATACAAAAAAAAAGTTTGTGGCTTTGAGGTCCGGATTATACATCATTTCGGATTACGGACTTTGTACTGTACTAAACTATACAATTCCTTGAATACCAAACTGAAGAAATCCTTGAATAAAATATCAAAGAATATTCTCATTTTAACAATTTTTCCTCAGTAAAAAAGGAATTATGAAGAAACTGACCATTAGAAAATTATTCTGTGCTGATTTTAAGGAATGACTTAACTTCTCCCTGACTTGTCCGCATTAACTCAGGATGAGAAAACTATCACATAGTGATTTGCCTGAGCTGAAGAAATGGATACCTTCAGTTTTCACTGCAAAGCATATTTTCCTTCCCCCCATCAAAGTGATTGCTAGCAGTGTACATGTGTACTTAGACTAAAAAACAAGTTTTTTTTTGTTTCATTTGTACCAGCCTCAGCAGTAAATGTGATGCTTTAGAAGAATTGGGTGTTCATACTGCAGAGTATGTGGATTAATACAACAGGCTTCTACTTCACAGAGAGGGGGAAAGCAGCATCAAGCACAAAAACTAACTACATTTGAACCAGACAACAAAAATTTGTAAGACCAGTTTTTCTCATTACTTCTCACCACTGCACAATGAAATTCATTTTGTTGAGGTACCATTTAAGGGGCTCAAGCTATTCTTAGCATAAAGCTTCCTCACAAGGTTTTCATAGTTACCAACCCTGAAATATGAAGAAGTTTCCAAGATGTTTTCATTTTGCATGGCAACACGATTTCAAAAGAACTTCAAACTCATTTAAATTCACTTAACAAAAGAATGCAAAATTCAGATCACTTAAAAATTTGGAATATGATTTTCATATAAAGCATAGTAACATTTAATTAGATATTCTTTCATTTTCTAACCTTATACTTTTATGCTCAGAACTGCTTTTATTTATCAATTTACTTTAATATGATGAAAATAAAATTAATGTACATACATATGGATAAACTTAGTAATGTAAACTGCACAAATCTAGTTCTATATCTTTATTAAATATTTCTTTCAGTGTAAATTGCTTTTTTTGGGGCTAATACTTTCCTATTAATTTTACAGATAGACATAATTTTGTGCTTTGCTACGAAGTTCAAGTTCTGAAATTACTGTACTAAGAAACCTCATTAAACTGTCAATCAAATTTTTCTTGCTCTCAATGACCTTTTTATCACTTACTTCACTATTGGTATTTTTCTGGATTGAAAATTTATGGATTCAGAGCCATACCACAGATTTTTAACTGTCTGTTAACAGATCACTAGGGCATTGTCACTGCAATGGAATACTTCTGTTACATCATCTTTATTAACTAGCACTTCTTTACAAAATGCACGAATTGGAAAATTTCACGTTTTGTTTGATATCCATGAAACTTTCAAATTCACAACTGTCATAAAGGATAGCAAGCATTCTGCCATACGCTACTGGATAGTATCATGATACTGGCGGTTTAAGACGTACTGTTCCTCTAGAAATTATCTAGCTCCTATTGTGTGCTGAGAAAATTAAACCTGACTTATATTAGTTTCACTATTATATTAGCTATACTTCTGTTTGTTTCTCGTATATGCTTAAGGCTTATCCAAGTCCTGATAAAATAAACTCTAATATATACATTAGGTTAGGCTAGGTTAATTGATTAGAGCAAAGCAACTCCAAGGCTATCTGCTTATAGGGGGAGGACTTTTTAAGGGAAAATGGCTCAACTATGCAGCCAGCCCATTTGCCGAGATTAGATCCCAGGGCGAACAACCAGTGCTCAGCAACGTTACTACTCGACCTCTGGTGGGTCTTGCATATACTTAAGGCAGTACTTTCCATTATGCACCTACCATGCAGTCTGGTGGGTCTTTTAATAATAAACAGTTGGTAGTGGGTTTCCTGGTGCAAAACCTTAAAGGTTATATGTGTCAAAACACATATCAGGCAGTTTAAAACACAAGTGATAAATAAGCAGACATAAACAAATAACAGACAAGATTAAAACTACGGGAAAAACATAAAAATCTAAAGAACTGATAAAATGATGAATGCTGAGATGGAGTTACTTATAATTCAAATGATAATATTAAATATGAAACAGATGTAAAATTCTAAAACATGAGATAAAATAAACAGAATTAAAACACAGGGATGTAACATCAAGACAAAATCAAATTAAATGTTAAAGACCCATCCCTTTCAGGTAGTGAAATAAATTTGCATTGGCCTCTTCCAATTACACAGTCAAGAGGCAAGTCAGTATCATTAAAATATTTCAGTCATAGTTTGTTAAGATTTGTACATTCAATTAAAAAGTGATGTACACATAGAACACGATTACAATTTAAACATACAGATTCACTCTCGGCCCTCAAAAGGCAATTGTGTGCGTGACTCGAGAATGACCAATTCTGAGACATGTCAACAAGACTTCTTCTCTTTGGTTTCTAGTTGTCTCCCAGTTCTCTACATTAGGTTTCATTCTTCTCAATTTATTTAAGAACTGATCATCCCACAATACTTGTTATTTACTTAAGATTCTCTGTCTGATGATCATTTTAATATCATTGTAAGGAACAAGTGTATTTGAATAAGCTATTGCAGACTTTGCTACTGTGCCTGCCAGCTTGTTACCCACTATACCTATGTATCCAGAGACCCAGCAGCAAAACCATGGCTCTTTAATTTTTCATGTAATCTTAGAACGTCAATTAGTAGAGGATTTCGAATGTCAGAAAAATTATCTAAAGCTTTTAGAGTTCTTAAAGAATCTGTAAATTAGAAATCTTTTCTGGAACTGCTTAGAGATGAAGGTAAAAGCACTATACAGAGCAGTCAATTGAGCGATAGATACAAAGAATGTGTCATGCAGCCGTTTACTTTTGATATGATCCTGAGTCACAAAGGATGCACCTACATGACCAGCTGATTTTGAATCATCTATATATATGGGTTATCTCCATCTCTGTGCTCAAGAAATACTGTATTTCTTTAGTGTTTCTCTTATCAAGGTGCTGAAACATATCCAGAACGTAAATTTTCGGATTATCCTAAGGTGGGATACCTAGATTCTTCACTGCTTGGAACTTCATATCAGACAAGTTATATTTTTCTATTAAGGATTCTGCTCTTTCTAAGAAAGGAAGCACATTAAGAGGTCATGCAGATAATAAAAGTTTGTGACAGTCATCAAGCCTACAGATGTGGAGACGATGATTAGATTGTGACATAATATTGAAATACTGATAGAGAGACAATTTTTCATGGTTGAAGCAAGGGTTCATAACAATCAACATACAGGCTCTTGACAGGAGATGTTCTGAACACTCTGGAACAAACTCTCAGAGCGTGATGATGTACGGATCAAGTTTTAATAAAATAAAAGGCAGTGCAGATCCATGCACAGCTGAGCCGCAGTCCAATTTGGAGTGTACAAGTGATCTGTAAATTTGAAGTAAAGAGAAATGTTCTGTATGGCAGGGTGTGGTTGACAGCCCTTTTAGCAGATTCAATATTATGAAACATTTCTTCTTTAAATATAAGACATGAGGAAGAAAAGTAAGCTTACGGTCGAACATCACTCCTAACTTCACTTCAGGGAGAACTGGAATCAATGAGCCTTGAGGATGAAGTTCAGGCTGAGGATGAAGATTGATCGTTTTACAAAAATGCAGGCAAACGGTCTTCTCTTTTGAAAATATAAAGCCCTATTTGACCAATTTCGAATCCTGTGCACAGAAATCTGCAACTGTCTCTCCACTTACCTCATATCTCCACCTTGACAACTTATCTGCAAGTCATCAACGTACTGCACACCTAAAATAGAAGGTGGAAATTTTTTAAAACACAGTTTGTCCTTAAAAAGAGTAACACAGAGAAGACAGCCTTTAGGCGTACCCTCTTATTGACATAAAACATCTGATAACACTGAGCCAATTTAAAAAAAACCTAGCCTTCAAAAAATTCCTTATGAAAACTGGCAGATTGCCACACAAGCCCAGTGGCTTGCCGAAAAATATTGAAACTAAAAATGGTTCCTTTTGACAAAGGCTTTAGAGATGAAGGTTTCCAAAAGAAGCATATTATCCATAGTTATTCTACCTTTGCGAAAACCACTCTGATATGGTGAGATTATTTTGTATTTTCTAAGTAATAGACTAGGCAGTGGTTTACCATTTTTTCAAATAATTTGCAAATTGGCCAGCAGTTGGAGGGATTCTTCGGGTCTTTCCCTGGTTTAGCGATGGGGATAACAATTGCTTTCCTGGACACAGGATGACATACATCGATCATATGTTTGATGTTAATGAGATTTTGGAATCAGCAACAGTTCCATAATACCAGAGTGACCATTATGCTTAATGTTTATTGTTCCGATGCTTTTTTTTTTCCTTTTTTTTTATTTTATGCGGAAGAAGATATTGAGGAATCTCTAGACCTTTCTCAAGTTCCATGTCATCTGAATCTTGAGACTCAGAAATCATATCATCAAGTGAGCTATGCCTTCTACTTCTGTTAATTTTTTATTGGTTTTTGTTTATTTTGAACTGCTATTTCTTTTTTTTTTAGTGCTATATGAGTAGGTTTCTCATTCTTTTTTGTAGTCTGTTTCCTGTTCATTTTTAACTGGTGCTGACGTTTGGGTAGCATTTGACTGAGATTTTAGAGCATTAGCAAAATATATGTTTAGCCCAAACTGTGGGTTTTCAATGACCCTTCTGGCTTCTGAGTACGAGATATTCCTAGTAACTTTAACAGTATGCACTTCCTTTTCTTATTTGCATCTTGGGCAGGAGCGATAAAAAGCCATATGCAAACCCTTGCAATTTATACAGTGCAGTTTTTGCTATTGTGGCCAACCATTGAACACTGTGGGTATGTCAGATTGCAATGGCATGAGTTCTTTGAATGACCAAAATGCTGGCATTGGAAACATCGCATGAGGTTCAGAATATATGGTCTTCCTTGGCAGTTCAAGTATCCAGCCTTTATACTCCTCAGCACATCAGGTGAGTTGAAGGTCATGATCACGTTTTGTGTCTATCAACTGACCCCTCCTTTCACACCTTGATCTACCTGGCAGCACAGACATTTTGGTTAGTTAGCTCAGAGACAAACAGGAAGTCAATTTCCAAGATTACACCATGACAAATGTTCAGTGTTTTATGTGCTGAAACAGTTATGACAGCATGCCAAGTTTGGATACTCGAAGTAGAGAAGCTCGGAGTTCATATAATATCATCTATATTTAATTTTTTTTTTAAACTGAGTGTTTTAACTGAGAATTCATTTACAGCAATGTCCCAGATTCTAACTATAACAGGTGGTCATTTTTTAGCACATCAGTTTGAATGCAGCCATTGCGAGTTATCTCAGTTGCAAGGATGCTGTGCATTGTATTTTAAGATGTTGCGCAAAGACCTAATTCTGTATTAATAAATTTTTTTAAACTTTCCTTTCCCTTCCGATTTCAGTTTCCTGCCAGAGTGCAAATTTAAATGACATATATGCAAAATCTCAATGAGTTCGGAAATAGCATTTTAAGTGGGAAAATTGAAGAGTTTGCAATAGAAGAGTTAGTTACGTGTAGAGCGGTTTATGCAGAGAACAAGTTTATGCTGCAAACAAGATTTATGCCATGTGTTTGGAAGTAGCTCTGCAGCTGAATATTTGTGCTATCCACTTACTTTATATTAGTATTTTAGACTCGGCTTTGCAGTGTGCAGCCTATAAATCTGATGTAGATTAAAGTAGGAGCCAGTTATGCATTTGAAATGTGTTTCATTCTGATTGTACATATTACTTTGTGTTCATGTTACTTAGCCACACGTGGTGGTAAGTTTGTGAGCACCGAGTGGGTGCATGTTCTGTTCAGGTTTGTTAAAATAGAAAGGTTGTTATAACATTCGTCGGCAGTCATCTGTTTTTCAAGGCAAAGCGAGAATTCGCTATCTCGTCTTCAGTAGGATCTACATTTTATGCTCCCCAAAAGAACAAGACTCTATAAATGGTCTCCTTTAACTTTTGAAGATGATTCTGTAAAGTAATGGTTTCTCTTGCATTAAACAACCTTCGATACATTTCAGCTATGACCTAAACACCGTTCACATTTTTTAACACCATTCATTCAGTAAGTAAGGAGGAAAATACTTAAATGTAAGTGTGTGCATGTTGCTACTGCATCTAGACCTTTAGAAAACGCTCAAAAGAATTCTTACCTAATGAAAGGATGGTAACAAATGGTGGCCTATCAGAAGTTAATAATGAATGCTCTCTAGCTTTATTTATGCCACTTTCCTTTCCATAAACTCCTTTAACAGGACCAACGACAGCTTCATATCCATGAACTTTAAATGTAAAAGCTTTATGAGGATTCTGGTATCGTATACATTCCTATTAAAAGACACAGAAAATTCTTTCAAAATGTAACATCACTTTTGTATGAAATATGAAATTAGAATTATTATTTATCCCTCTGAACAGCACAGCTTTTTGAACCTGCACACGAAGATCTGTATTTAAACAGCATTTATATTCTAAATCTATACAATTAATAATTCTAGACTCTATTTTCACAAACTTCCATTCATTAAGATAGTATTTACATCATTAAAGAAACTAAGAATGCAAAATACTCTAAATTATAAGCTGATATATACCAAGAGACAAAACTATCTCATGACCGGATACAGGCAGTCATGCCACTCAGAGGGTTAAAGGACAAAAATCCTTCAATACATTAACTAGCTTCACATATTAAAATATGGAGAGAAAATGGATTCATTTAAATTGCAAGGATAAAACCAATAATACATATATTACCATGACACGTACAGGTAGAAGGGGAATTTAACCACTGGTTGCACTATCCAATTTTGATACAAAGAACACCCTGACCAACATAGATCTGAGTGTCTTCCACCCCTCTTTTGCCACCACCAAACCACTGGAAAGTACATTTGCCCCAGTAATGTTCTAAGTGGCCCCATGCTATGCACACACACTTACAAACATCCATACTTTCTGTGGAATTCAAACCCAAGCCCAACAATACGGCAGCTTACGTCATTAACCACTATACCAATCAGGGTGCCCATATAACTCTGGGAACAGACTAAAGGTTAGTAGTGCATTTCTGTCCAGTTTTACGATTACATAGAAAAAATACTATCTATACAGGAAAACTAACTGCACTTTAAGGATAAAATTTATAATTAATGTGTTCAAAATCTTACTTGAAAATACTTTATTGAGTTATCTGGAAAGTTCTGAAGCTTTTCAAACTGACACATTTTCTTCTAATTATTTTGTTATTGCTGATAAAAGTGACCTTGGTTGAAGAGAATGTTTAAATATGGTCTTTTTTGTACACACTGTGTAATTCTAGCAAATGTTGCAACACAATTTTTGTTACAATGCAGTGCTAAGGCTGGAGAACATAAGAGTACATTTGTGTCATAATTAGACATACTTTTCTCACCTGAGGCAAAGCAGTAAAGCTGTGTTCACACCAACCTGGTCACACGTTAATCAATCAGAAGCGAGTTCAGAGGCAGCATTTGCCGGCCGGCCGGAGATCGCGTGGGTTGACTTAACTTCAACTTTTTAATGCTTAATGCATCAGTTTCAGGCATCTCGTTTCAAATATCCAGTTTATACCATGGTTTTTAAATGATTGGACTTTTAAAAATTCTTGATGATTGATGAAATTTATGAAAAAAAAAAGGCAAATGTACTAATATTAATAAAAATTTCAGATAATAATAAAAAAAATACTGATTATGCTAGCTTTATAAATTATTTAAAGGAAAATTCTCAAGTTTATAAGCAGTAATAAGCCTTAGTAATCAACCATAAATTATATATGGTTGATAATTTTTACAGCATAAACTAAAGCAATAGATTGTTGCGAGAAAATAGAGATGAATTCCGAAATCCCAGATTTTGGATTTTTCTTAAAATATATCTACATCAATTTAAGGTTGCTCTTGTTAGTGGTGTTGTAATGGAGTTGGTATTTTTAAAAATAATATTTACAGAAATTATTATCGCGAGTTTCAGAGTGGCTCAGATGCTTCTTCAGTTTCCTGCAGGTGAATTGCGAAAACCATGCTTACCTGTAAGATACCTTAGCGCAGAGGTAATGCGCTCAAGTAGGAACTTCAGCTTTTACTAGGGGCTTGTATCGCAGGTTCGGGTCTTGCTTTTTCCTACTTCTGATGATGTTATGAATACACTATTTCTTTAATCTACCGCAGCCTTTTTTATTTAGGGGGGGACACAAGAAGCTTGCACTTATTTTCATTTTATTTTATTCATCATTCATATAAACCTAATGTTCGCTCGGTATTGTGCGCATTACCCTTCTTTATAATTCATATGAAGATCTGACTACTATAATCTGATTCTGTTTCGGCTGACACGAGACTAGCAAAAGCCATACTGGTATTAATATAAAGTTGCTGTTTCATCTAATTAAAAAATTTAGTGAGTTCTAAATTTTAAATGAGTGGTGACGAGTTAAACCATTTGTTTAAAAAAAATAAGAAAACTGTTATTTATACAGAAAAGAAGCTCGTTGGTATGTAGCTGATTTTATGGAATACTTTTATGCATTTTAATAGCTTCATGTTTGCTTTTCTTAACATGCATGACCACTTTTCGAAAGGTTTAATCGTGATGATAATTTTTCATTAATTTAAAGAACTTGCATGAGCATTAGCAAATTTGCTAACTGTGGAATTCAATATTTAATGCAGAAAAAGAAGTATTATATAAAATACAGTTACTTCAGCAAGTTTTAGATAAAAGTGACCTTATAAAATAAACCTTTAGTTAGTGGCTGTTCATTAATAGATGAATGACTTAATAATATATGAAGTAATTATTGTTACATTTATTGCTGTTGTTTATTAATTCAGAAATAACTGCTTTTTTAAGCGTGATATTTAACTTAGTAATGCTGTAAATCCTACATATATTTAAACAAAATATACCTTTTTATTGCATTATTTAAACCAATTAAAAGGAGTTCATTTAACCCTCAGCTGGAGGGGTTGGCTTATGGTACAATTTTAGAGGTGCGGTGTATGAAGTACGCCAGGTCGTTTTTTGAGCCTCTGCTTCGTATTTGAAACTATTTAATCTTATACATTGTATTAATAAGGTAATTCGTCATAGTAAAAAGGATATAAAAAAAGAATAACAGAAAAAAAGCAGTAAATGTGGAAATTATGAATTTTTAATTAATACAAAAAATGAAAGGCACTGGAAATGTAATTTAAAGTTATGCAGTATGCTATGTTATTTTCTGTATGAAAATTATAAGATCATAAACCAAATTTACAAATTATAAATATTCCGTAGAGAAAAGTTCAGTAAGTAATAAATTTCACAAATGAAAAAATTAAAACCTTTTGCTACTTTAATTCTCTTCAGATTGTCCCTGTTCACTGCAGCAGGGTTTGCAAAGTTGTACTGTCTTGCCCAGATGATTTTTGCAGGCAAACTTAGAACACTCAGAACATTTTATGGTAGTGTAATTATTTTTCATTCTACCACACTCAGCGCAACGTCCTTTGATATTTTTTGCAGGTGGTTCCTCGTCCTTTTCAACCGTCTTGTCAGCTCTGTTGTTACCAATCTTTTAATAATAGCTTTCGAATGTGACGGGAGAAATGGCATTTTTAGATGATTCTGAAGATGTGGTTTCACCAAAGATGTAGCTAGAGTTTTAAAAAAATATCTTCCGAACTTGGTGGTTGCATCAGGTTTGGCGAGGTTCAAGAGCACTTGGGAATTTATGCCCGCTACGTTTAGCCAGTGCAAAAAATACTGGCATTGCCCACCTCCTGGTTTTTCATGCGACAGTGAAATTACTAAAAAGTTGGTCTACGGTGTCAACTCCACCTTTACATTTGTTATAATCCAGGTTTATGTGAGGTTTATTCATTTCCTGATCAATTTTGATCATCATGTAAAGTACTGAGCAGTATTACACACTTATTTTTTTTCGCTGCATGAAACAATTGTCTTATCCTATTGAAAAACCAAACAGTGAGCTGGCGACTTATTTTGTTTTTGATGGTTAGAATTCATTTGGAATTTCTTTTTTATTTTTTTCAGCATGCCCACAAGTGTTATACCTTTGGTACGAAGATACTGAGCTAGCGGGTAGCTTGTGTACCAATTATTGGTCGTCAGGTTACGGTTGGAACCTTCGTATGCACCAATTAGCCTTTTGATAATGACAATACTTGAATTGGAAGCCTTGTAATAGGAGTTAATTGCCACAATAAATTTCAATCTTCAATGCATAAAATGTTTGTGAGTCAACAATTGCAAAATTTTTCAGATCGTACTTTGTGGGCTTGTTGGGGATGAACTGAATAAAAGTGCATCTCCCGTGAAAGGGTTCCAACGTTTCACTGATTGCGGGTTCGTGACCTGGTGTATAAAAATTTTGACAGTTCTGATATAAAGATTCAAAAAATTCTCTTAGTACAGCAAGCTTATCAGTTTTTCTTCGCACATACCTTGTGCCTTTATTGTCGAATCTAATAGTAGCATACAGGTTTCTGAATCACTTGAGACCCATGACCCCTTGCAAAAGTTTAATTCCAGTAGTGTCTTTTGCACATGCTATCTCCAAATGAGTTTTGACATTTTTTTTGCACACTAATAAGAATAAAATTCCTAAAAATTCCTTCTTCTGCTCTATTAATATCATACATGTTTCTCTTTGAGATGTTTTGGAGATCATCTGCGCTCCTGTTACATTTGAGATAAATATTTGTATATTGTACGATAGCATCAATCATATCTGTATTTATGATTTTCTGGAAAGCAAAAAGCTCATCATTTATATCATCACAAATTTTGGCACTTGGGAATATTTTTTTCATCAAAATTTTTCGAGGCTTTCTGGCGAATTTGCTCTTAAGGGGAACTTTACTCCACTTATAAGTTTCCTTTTCCTCTTTCAGAATCTTTCCTCCAACTTAGAAAACTTTTTTTTGTAAATCGTTTTACAAAAAAGTCCTCAAATTTTAAATCAATTATGTCATTTTCAACATCACTAAAATTGTCATTTGTTGGGGAAACATCATTTGAGGAAAGAAAATGAGGATGGTTTGAAACATTTCCCTCAATTTCTGTGTCACTTTCATGATCAGAATGAATGGATAAAGTATTCAATGACTTCCGATTCATCGACATCACAGTCCTCATCAACTGAGACTTCTTCTAAAATGTGCAAATAATCTTCAGGAGGTACAATATTCTTTCTGTACATACTTGGAGGAGCGGCGTACTGCGTTTGCCTTCACGACATGCTCACAATAACTGCTTTCGGAGGGAAGGCGGAAACCAGACTGACCAGAAATAACAGATGC